TGGTGAATTCCAAATGCATGTGAAGACGAGAAAATGGGTCCCCACTTCTTTATCGGCCTTTGATGAAACAGAAGATAAGGAAAAAGAAAAAAGATGTGCCATTATTTAAGTTGGAAAATTAAAGGGCATCACCTATAAAACCCTTCTATTTTGTTTTAATTTATTATATATTTTTTGGGAAGATAATATAGTTAAATCACAGTAGATAAGAATGGACCAATTAGTACGTGAACTAATAATTTGCTATGAGTTGTTATAAAGAGATAACACTTTATGTTAATGTTTAAGGTTATAAGTATAGATCTATTAATTAACTTACAAGTGATTATATGAGAGGCGAATCAACTTGTCATATTTTTTATTAAAAAAATCTGCATACCTATTTTATATAAAATGCCAGAGTTATGATTTTTTTTAAGTATGCCATTTAAATTTTAGAGTATATATATAAATTTAATATATTATCTATCATATACAACACAACTTTAACTTTTATGTGTCTCATATCTAAGTATTGAATATTATTGTTGGGACCTCCCTATATGTTGGAGTAAGCCAATTGATGAATAATTGGATAAGATTCACGCATTTTGATGAACACCCTTTTGAATTATTTGAATTTGGTTTTGGTTGCTTGCAGAAAGAGAACTTGTGATGGGAAGAAATTTATCCAAGTAAAACATATCCAATCACAAAAACGGATTTTAAAACACATCGAAATAGTATTTTTTTTTTAATATTTTATTTATTAAATGTACTTCGTAAAATGAACGTTTTGAATTTATTGTTTTAAGAACTAACTTATTCATATATTTAATTGAACATTAAACATGAATTAGTGTTACAATATTTTTTTTTCTTTTTTTTCTTTTGCATATAATAGAATGTGGGAATTGTTTCCAAACAAATAATTGCACTGTAAGACTGCTTTAAGAAAAACATAATGATTACGTAGTCATAATTTTTTAATAAATATAAATAATTTCAAATTAAAATATCTTACATAAAAAACACATGAATTAAAATGTATTATTTTTTAGAATAAATATGTATTATTAAAAAACATGACGAATCCTAATTAACAATTAGGCGATTCATATAAAAATATGTGTGGTCTTAAAAGCTTAGCTCCATCTGACCAAGTCAACAAAAGTTGAGTCTTACAAGTTAAACCTATGCTTCAAGGACTTGATTTCAAATAAATTATCAAATAGCTTTTGGTTATTTGTTGATTTTGTAAGTCCATAGAATTAAAATATATATATATATATAGGGACTGGTTTAAATAAAAACTAGTTCTGATGTGAGAATCGTATTTGATACTATTTTTAATTATGTACGATGTAATTTTTAATATTAAATGATGCTATCATTTTCATAAAATGCTAATATAAATTATGTTGCTATTTTTAATAAAATTCATTCTAGTTAAAAATAACACCAAACACAATCAATCATAGCACTACCCCTGCTAAAACTATGAGTGATTAGTTTCGAAACATATTATTTTCAAAATGGAACATAGTTTTCCAAACAATTTTAGTCTCATTTACTTAATTAAATGCTTGATTCGAATCTAAGTATATAGTATATGGTCTCAAGTCTCAATTCCATGAATAATGGAAAATAAACGGAAAAAGAAAAGGTTCAAATTTAATATTTTGACTTTACAAGGGGTCATTCTAGCCTAGAATTTATAAGCCAGTAGGTATATATGTATATACTTGCAACGTGTCAAATAACATATGATAGATAGTTTCTCNTAAAATATAATATAAATAAATTAAGTATAACATTTAACCATATTAATATTCATTAGTTAAGATTATGACAAATCAACTTGTCTAACTATTAGACCAAATTATACAATAATTTGTATACTAATAATATTATTTAACATATTTTATTTGTGTCCCCAAAATGTTCAATAATGGAGCACTAACACGCATTTTCATGTTCTTTGGGGTCGCTTTCTAAACTTTGCTTTACCTTCATTTAACTTTAATTGGTGAATAACACTTGCTGTTATGCCCACATACAAAATATAATAAACTTATTTTGGTAATATTGTGATTAGACGTTTAACAGTTATATATAAAGCTTGATTATCCACATACTTACACATGTTTAGAGTGTTTAGACGCCATAATATTTGATGATTATAGATAATTAAACAGTTAACCAGATATTTTTCGGTAAAGTATGAGTATTGAACCTCGCCTCATGATCAGTAGATAGCTAATAGCTAATAAGATATTATCACATTATAAAATTATTTTGTGGCCTCCTTATGATTTGGAACAAATAAAAGTCAACTAATCTAGTCTAGTCACTCAGAAAATAGTGAACTTCTCAAAAAAATATTTCAATATTATAACTTTCACATGGAAAATTTTCGATAAATTCCATTGAAAATGCATTATTTACTGCAGTTGGAACTATTTGTTGATAACATGCAATTGCAATGTAAATTCATACAACAAAATTATAAAAATCGAAAAAACTGTTGGAATCATCAATACCATCTAGAATTCCATGAAAAATTCAATTCCAGTAAAAGATTTTAATTAGAGTCGATTTTCGTTGAAATTTTCAACGGAATTACAATATTGTAATATCAGTTTGAATTTTTGTTGTAATATTTATCCATTGGAATTCTAACATTGATTTGGAGAGAGTTATGAATCAAAACCAACGAAATTATTTGGAACCGATGTAATAATTAGACACATGCATTTGAAAATTTGGAAAAGAGCAAAAAAATGTAATTATAATTAATTAAGGGTATCTAATTATCTATTATAGCCTCTCTAATTGGGATTTTTTTCGATTAACTTGATTATTCACATACTTAATAGAATCAAGCATATATATCTCTAGCATATATATTTCAATTTTACATGAATCAATAATATGTGATCTTATTTTTAATGATCATTGACCAGTACTAGAGTAGTATAGTGGCAAGGGTCCATGATGGAGAAATAAAAAATAATAATTAAATTAAGCTCTAGCATAAAAGTTATGGAGCTTTTTAGAAAGTTTCTTTATAGATTGCAATTGCACCTAAATTGTGCCACCTAAAAAGTTTCATAAACATAAAGCATTTTCTGTTTTAGAACTGTGGATGCAATAATGCAGGTACAATGAGATATATATCTCTTTAGCCAATAATTTACGGACACCATGAATTATTTGAACTTTGGAGCAAAGCTTTCAGATTTTATTTATTTATTTATTTTTTATTATTTTTTTTTCTAATTGGTAGGGCTACACAAACACTTATCACTTGTGAGTAATGTTTAAGGAATTTTGATTTGACCAATTGTAAGCAGTAAGTGGTTCTTTACATATACTTTATGAATTTTAACTTAATTACTACATAGCTCCTGCTATGTACGAGATGAGCTATGGAGTATAAATTAAATTATTGAATTTAATATATAACATTTTTTATATTGTTTGATATTGGAAGCCTATATTTAAGAGTGATTCTTGCAATATCATAAACAGTTGATTAAATTGGCTTGACTTACTCTTTTAATTTTTTTTTATTTATTTTTTGATTGGTTTACTGTATCCTGTGACAAAATTTGAATTGTTCATTTGTATTTTCGGTAAACTGATCTGTATATAATAATGGTATTGTGGCATGACTCAATTGACACTTCTCCAAGTTTTATTTTATAAGCTTAACTAGTAATTGTTAACTGATGAAAGTATTATGGTTTCACACAAAAAGAAGAAAAGAAATGAAAAATAAAATGTAGCAAGCACTTCATAATACTGCATACAATTACACTAAGCATTCAATTCCTTCAAAATGGATTGAAGGCCTTAAAGTCAATAAAATTCTATATGTTACCTAAATGATGTAATTAATTTGGTCCGTTCAAGATTTAAGGTGAACGTACACATTGTTAGTTAGTTAGTTTTCTTTTTTCTTTTTTTCTTGTTTTTCGTGTTGTTTGGTTCAAAAAGGAGTAATAGTTTTAGCTTTCGCTACATACAGTACTAGAGGTCGTCTTACAGTACAACACTCGTACTTACGTGGATGCTAATAAAAAAATTATATAAAATTAAAAAAATATATATATAAAAGATATTTTTTTTATTTAAATTTCATATACTTTTAAAAAAATTGCATTATAATTTATATTTAAATTTAGAGTTTACATGTACTAATCGCCCGTCTCATATTATAATAGTTTTTTAATTCATATGCAATGAATTTATAGATAACTTTTTAAATTGAAATATAATTTTATTAAAAAATATAGTGAAATTCTTTAAAAAATGTAAGAGAAGTTTATTTTATTTAGATTTTAAATAACTTTTATATTGTAATAATTTTTTGATGGATATATAATAAATTTATAAATAACTTTTTTGATTGCTATAAAATTTAATTATTAATTTTTATTTAGTATGAATAGATTGTTTAATTTTATAATAAATAAATTATTTCTATATATGTAATATGAATATCAAATCTAAGTTCGTCAAAGAATGATTAATTAGTTTGATATATTAATATATAAAAAATAATAATAGATACAAAAAATATAAATTTTTAAAATATATTTATAATTTAAGTTTGACACATAAGATTACGAAATTATTGGAATATCACTTGTGAGTTGTCCCACATTGATTCTACAGGGTAAATGAGTCTAGTATATAAACCTAGTGGGCTACTCATTCCATCACCAATTGATTTTGGAATGGAACCTCACTATGGTGCACCTAGCCTCACCCTCTTATGATGCGCTTCATCTGGTGGGCCCGCACCCTCTTCCCCCGACTATATAAATCTAATAGAAAGAAAGTATAATTGCGATATTCTGGATTCATATGTAAGGATTTTCCACATAATTGGTACAAATTTAATTACTAGAAATTACTAGAGATCAAGTTACATAGTTGGTATAAAATATGCTAAAAAGAAAAAGCATACCGAAAAGAAGTACTTCCTCAAAAGAAGCAACCATAATGGAACGAGAAAATATAAATATTAACGATAAATGGGAAAAGCAAGTTCATAAAGTGACAAGTGTTCAAGGACTGCCCAGTTCAATCTCAAACTTGCAAAACAATTCATTATTCGTCATGTGTCCGCATAATTTTTATTCACCATTTTTGCTCTTAAGTCTAAAACCCAGGCACAGGATGCACTTATAATGTAATTTAAAAAATGTTTCAATTTCAATGGGGCTATTAAATCTCTAAATTCTAGGTTTATTCACTCCACTCCAATAATATAATATAATCGCTACGTAATTGTTAAACCAAACAACTCAACCAAACAGAGTTGTTTGTAAATTCTCTTCGAGTTCGTTTAGTTAACGAGCTCGACTCGTTAAAACTACAATTAATTATTTTTTATGTAATTTTCTGTTGCTCAACTTGTTAAGTTTTGAGCCCAACTTGTTAAACTACGAGCTCATCTTGTTAGTATTGATAAACAAGTCGAGTTCGACCTCTTTTGTTTGTTCGTTTAATTAACGTGTTGAACACAACTTGACTTCATCAACAAATCAACACTCAACACATCTCCTTTTATGATGTTGCTGACTGAGTCGACGAGCAACACAAAAATTAAAATAAATAGTTAATAATATTAGACAATTCACAATATAAGTAAATAGAAAATAAATAAAAAATGTGCAGTAACATAAACCAACTGCATTCAAAACAACATAACATATCAAACGTCTGTAGAATTACACATCTATATTTTGATCTTACATGTTATCACACTTTAATAAAGATAAATGAACCCAAAATTTAATACCACAGAACAAGGGAGTCTTTATATCTTTATATAAGATAAGATGTAGAATTACACATCTATATTTTGATCTTACATGTTATCACACTTTGTGCTAGGCGCAAATAATAGTTTTTCGTTACCAAAATCATTGACCACCAATGTGTTCTACTGCAGAAAATTGCAGAAAATGAACAATGGCTTATCACTAGCTACTATGGCCAAGTACCCGAGAGTAATTTATTAGGAAACCATAGGATATCACGCCCTTATAATTTATTAAGAAACCATAGGATATCACGTGCAATAAGGCCAACCAAACACACCCTTACTAAATTACTTTAAAAAAATAGGGGCCCTACCCCAGCTACAAATCCACTTTACCTTAGTGGGATTTCAACAGGTCAATCTTATTGTCTTGCGGGCCCAAACAGACTCGCAGCCAGAAAAAAAATGTAAAAATTTATGCAAACCACAACTTTTATTTATTTTTCTCTGATAATTAATTGAAGTCATTTTATGATAGATATGGATCAAATTATTACCACGCTGACTTGCATTTTTGAAGTGCATTATTTACTTTGACCTCTTACTCCTATTCACATATATTTTTCGCGCTCATAATCAGTTCATGCATGCACGTTTATATATAATCATGTATATCATTCACAAATTAATGACTAGCTTAACTAGCAAGATGAATTCTAGTTTATAATTCCTTGGAGATGAATTGCCACCCTTCAAACCATCAAGTAATAAAATTAAATTAAATTTCAAAACAACTGTAGTTTTAACCTACATATGATTAGTTAAAATACGGACCTTTTAGCCCATAATGCATATTGGTATTGATTGAATCACATATAACTGTGACCAATGTCTCATCTAAAAGTTGAATAATTTCTACAAGGTGCAAACAAACTCGAATGACTTTGCATTCTCGAGCTATGTATATCATGATAAGGCTTTATAACTTCATTTTCGTTGGGATTCTTTTTTTAGTTATTATGATGGGAGGAAAGTTTTATATAAAAAGTAGTCGAAATGGAATTCAATTAATCAATGGTAGTTTTGCATCTAAGTTTTCAATTGACAACAATTTGACAAGAAATTCGATCTGCGGTTAGAAATTGACATATATCATGCGCACATACGTGATCATATACACCATAATCCAAGTGTTTGATCTTTGGATCTAAATGCTTGATATCTTCATTTTAATTTTTGTTTTACACTTATCAAACTATGAAAGTACTGAACATAGAAAAGAATGTATTTTAAAATCAATTTAGTACTTTCAACAATACGAATGATGAAATTTCATGATTCGTAAAAAGTTGGCGTTCGACCAATTCAGCAGAAGCTAATCACAATTATGTCCGAATGTAGACGGTAAATTTCCTTTAGCAACGTTATAACAATAATATTATAGAACTTGTGTTTTTTTTTTTTCCTTCTTTTCCCCTCATCCACAACTTATGAAAAATAGTAGCTTGATGCAAACAATATATAGGGAGTTACTTATAAAAGCAAATATGCATATAGCTAGCTGTATAGTATTCATGCCTTTTTCACATGCACTATTTACAGCAAAACCCCCCAAAGTCTTCATTATTGCACAGCCCACCCCGCGCGTTCAAGTTCTTGACTTCTACTTCACCAACACTTAAAAAGAGTTCGGGAAAAGAAAACCCCAATTCTCTTGAGAATTATTATCTCGTCCCCACAAAACACTCAAGAGCATCCCAAGCGAGCGACGTCGTTTTGGCGCCTCAAATCCCTATAGAACCTCATGATAAACTCCTCTGCAGCCTCATCCACCGGATAATTACTACCCTCGCCCTCGGCATCCCAGCTCGCCGGGAATGGCGAGTCTGTTATCCTGAGCTGCCTCACCGCCGGCGTCCGCCCGAACCCCGGAAGCGCCGGCGACGCCGCTGCGCTCTCGATCATCTCCAGGACGGCCGCCGCCAGCTCGCCGTCGATCGTCGGCGCCGCCTTGCCCTGGCCGCGCACGCGCCTGCCGAGATTGAAGGGGAGGCCGAAATGCGGCGTGCTGCTGCAGCTGAACTCGTACTCGCCCGGGCGGTCCGCATCGGGGAAGGAGAGGCGGCGGTCTCCATCGGCGCCGCCGACGACGGCGGCGAAGCGTCGGTGGTGCTGGAAAACGAGGGCGTGGACGGCGGCCTTCCCGGCGATTTTGCCGCGCTTCATGAGGGCGTTGAGGTCGGCGAGGAGCTTCCCCTTGGAGATGATGCCCTTGCGCACCATGAAATAGATCACTCGGACTATGTTCCAGAATTTCTTGGCGACGATCGGCAAATTCTGCTCCATTGAATCGGATTTATGGATTATTTTTCTCTTTTTTTTTTTTTTGTGTTGTGTTCGATTGTTTTTGAGAGAGAGAGAATTTGGGGAAAATGTTTTGGAGAAATATTGTTTGTTTTGTTCGATCTGATTTTTGGGGCGGATGGGAGTGTATTTAAAGGGGAGGTCAATGAGGAGATGTTGAGTTGTGATTTAAGTAAAATAATCTTACGTGGAATTTGAAAAATATTTTTAAGGGAAACGGAATTACTTTATCGGTTTATTTTTTATTTAGTACAGATGGCAATGGGAGGGAGCGTCCGAGTTTCTTATGGCGCGATTGATTATAAAAATTAATCGATTTTAATTGTTCGGGTAATTTTTTATAGTTTCTAACTCATATTTGACTAGTTTCCAAGTCGGGTTTAAGTATTAACAAACGAATTGTTTTAAAGGTTCAAGAAATTATATATATCAAAAGAAACTCATATTTTTCAAACTTAATGAGCCGAACGAATTAATTAACTAAATCTTAAACGAGCATGAGCTCAACTCGTCTATTAAACGGGCCAAGCAAGACATAATTCAAGGACGTGCCATTTAGTTTAACAACTTTAAGCATACACGATATTTAAGAAATGTAAATTGGGAATATCAATTTGATAAATGTTTTTTTAATTAACTTTTTAAACTATTTGAAGAGATTAATTCCAAAACTAATTTGTGCTTCCATTTGTTTATTTTGAAATAAATCATTAGATAGGCCCAACGGAGATAAAATGAAACTGGATAATCGATAGATTTCGCTCTGCTACAGTCATCATCAGTAGAGTCGAGTCTTTTCTATATTTCTTTCTCCACATGAGTCATCGTATGCAGATTTTTATTGGGATTCTAATTATATGATACACATTTGTCGTTTTCGCAAACATAAATATTGTTTTCGCAAAAATAGATTGACTAATTATATCTTCTTACCAATAATGAATAATTATACTATGAAAATGTCATATTTTTAATGAGTTTATATTTTAAAGTATGACAAATGAACCTAAAAGTGTATACATATATTAAAAGAATATGACTATCAAACCACTATTCAATCTAATTGTATCACCATTGTGTGAAGTACTCTATTTTTTATATACTAGTTGTTTATCTTAAATAGAGACGAGCATCCTAAGTAAAATATCATAATTTTTGGCACATTATGTTATAGCCGTTGGAATCTGCAGGGATCCACAAGAAAACTTGTTGCCGTTGTTCAATGATAATTCTTAGCAGACGAGGTTATCAAGTCTGATTGTTCTTTGTTTTTGGTTTTTATATAAATAATATAAGAAAGAATTAAGGCTGCATATATAATAGAACAAATCAAATGCCAACTTAAAAAATGAACGCTAATTATAAGTTGTAGTATTTTTGCCATTTGATGATGAGATATGTGAGGAAACTAATTTAACCGCACGTAACAATTAAAAAATCACAATTTTTTGTGTGATTTAGGTCTAACAATTAGGTAGGTTGACTCATTATACATTTTTAATAAAATATTATATTTCTAATTAGTTATGTATATATTTTATTTTTCTAAAATTTGATATTCAATTAGAAAATATGCATATCTTCTGAAAAAGATAAAATTTTAAATAAAAGATAAATTTCTAAATCACAAAATTTTGCATGAATCATTTTTTTTTTTTTAATTTTCCAAATAAACCATAAATTTCTAAACCTCAAGTAAAACTACTCAATGCAATTAGCTCCAACGGATCTTATGGATCATATCAATTTTTTATTATACATAGTTAAGGTAAAAAAAATTGTGATATTGGTCCAATTTATGGCAACCCAGCTGTGTACAGCATGCAATATAAACGCGGCCAAAAGCTGTTGATTAAGTTAAACAACTCCACTAACCTATAAAGGCAAGCATATGTTAGTTTGAACTTTAAATATACCTTCTTTGTGCTACACTTACTAATTAAGAATGCCTAATTTTAGCTCTAATCATACTTTATGAGTTCCTTTTTAAGCCTTTGAAACACTTTTCAAACAACTAAAAAATATTACTTCACTTAATTAGATAGTCAGGATATTTTCAGGCCCATAGATTTTGATTTGTCCCAAAGGCTTTGAACCGAGTTGTCTAATAAATTGGAGTTTTGTTGACAAAGAAATGTACAATGCAATTGATATTAATATTGTTTGAATAGTTAGTAATTATGAATAAGATGGGATCATTCAAAAACACATGATTACCATACATTTCATTGGCTGTAGTACAGAATATAGCTTTGTTGAATTGAGTGGTTGAAGTGGTTAAAAGTATTTAAATGAATAAAGATCGTAAGAAGTAATATTGGTACTTTTTTTTTTAATTTACTATAATTTGTTAGGTAAATTTTACTTTTAACTAGTATTCGACCTTGTGCATTTGCACAGATGTAAATAAAATTAAATATTATAAGTTATATTTATGTATATAATATAAAAATTATAAGTTATATAATTGTAATATATTTCAAACATATAGTATTGTAAGTTATATTTATGTATATAATATTAAAATTATAAATTATATAATAGTATTATATTTTAAAATTTGATCATTGGTTAAAATAAATAGTACACACGACGAATCACGATTGCATAAAATGTAATAAATATATACTTTTTATAATTTTGAGCGATCATGACCAATTAATTAGCTGAAAAATATTACATTAATTATAACAATTGCTTATGTGATTTTAAGAAATTTTACTATGACATAAAAAAAAATTAATTTATTAATAAACAACATCTTCATCATATAAAAAAAATATTGATTTTAGTGTAAAATATAATTTTATGTAACTTTCATATATTATTTAGTATAAAATATAATTACTAATTTTAATATTAACTATTATATTATTCAATAAAAAATATAATTATTAATCAATTAACATAAAATATAATGGTTTTTGTCTTAATTAACCCAAAAAATGTAATGAAATATTTTCTTGTTAATGAGATTGGGTGTATTAATGCCACATAAATAAAATTTATTAGGTCCTATTTATTAGGTTTTATTAATGATTTGCCACATAGGTAAAATTTATTAGGTTTTATTTATTAGGTAAAATTTATTACTTAACTAGCAATTATATATATATACAGATTGACATCTCTCCTTTTACGTAACTACAGAATTTTATTGTGTGTCAAATTATAGTGTTTCATAATTTTATGTGTCCAATTTTGTTAGTTATTATCATGTTTCACAATTCTCACGACTATTGAATCTTTTTCTTTAATTAATTTACTAATTTATTAGATGAAACCGAATAATGTAACATTTTATTGGACGCGTTTGACAACATAACTGATCAAATGAAAAGTTGCTACTGGAATTAGCTAGTACTATTTCAGTTTGGGTTAACTATTGAATATTGTACAATTAATTTTTAAAAAAATTGATGGTACACGCACCTAATTTGCAGTCACGTGACTCTCATAATTAAACTTCTTTGCATTAACTCACTAATCCTTTTTATGGTACACGCACCTAATTTGCAGTCACGTGATAAATTTATGAAATAATTGAGTGCTCTTAATTAAAGGCTAAAATCCNATGTTGTTTTATTATTAATTGGATAAATGGTCTTATGGAGTATAATATAATTAATCTAATGCTATGAAGACATAATAGATATCGTATAGAATTTGACACAGTGTACATATAATCTTGTTTTATACATCAAATTACTGTTAATATTGTGTCAGCCTTTATGTTGCAAAGATATTCTTGTAGCGTTTTCCATACAATTAAGTTTATTATTTCACTTGATTAATTTTTTTAGGGGATAATGCCAGTCAACAATCATATTTTTTTTTTTAATAAATTGGTGTACATTTAAATTATTTTTGTTTGTCATCCTTCTCACTTTGTAAATTCAGAATTTTGATTATTTAAAATTATTCTCCTTTTTGAACCAGCCAAACAGAAAACACCTTACTTACCACATTAGGTTTCGTTCACAAATATCTGGTAACTATTAGTTATTGTTTTTACTCAACGATGTAGTTATGGCAGGAAGGAAAGACACGTGTCCCGAGCAACCTTTCTTGCTAAGTAAACAGCCAATGGGATGGGAATACCAATAAAGGGCAAAATGAAAGTGAGAGAATCAATTTAAAATCACCATCTCATGCTCCCACACTCTTTTTGTTTTTAATTTTTTTTTGCCCTATGTTTTTTTTCTTCTAAATTAATTTCTTTAAACATCATAATTAATTTAAATGTTTTATATAATTCAACAATATAATAAGGGATTTGTTAGCCATGCTCTCTTGCGGATTATGCTACACAAATATAATCACATTAACTTCAAAATCAATAAAATCAAATTACTTACACGTCATTATGTCACTTAAGTTTAAGATAATAACTGAAAATTTGGTAAATGTTCCATTGTATATTAATCCCACCACATTTGCTAAATGCTCCATTGTATATTCGAAAAAATCAATTTAGAACAAAGTAGTAGAAATTTTTTAAGTAATGCTAAATTTTATGTGAGCTAAATATTCCACAAACATCAAAATTATGGTCAAACATTCAATAAGAACGGATGACAATTTTTAAATGTTGGGCTTAACATTTGCCTCAACAAGTTATGTTAGTTGTAAATAATTACAACAAAACACTGAGTTCAAAAAAATAAATCAATTGATATGTACAAACTGCATCAATTATCTAATACTGCATGTGTATTCGGTGGACTTTATGTCAATAATTTTTCCTTTACTTGATGAATACCGAATTTGGAACTCACCTAAAGCTTCAATTGCAATTTTTTCAAGCGTAAAGTTGATTGAATATAAATAAAACCCATTTTTGATTGAAATTATTAGTTAAGATGAATTTGATTTTGATCAAGTTGATTGAGGGGAAAATTGAGAATGATTTTGAGTTTGTATCTAAATAATATTTAAAATGTGATGATTAAAGTTGAATGCAAAAGTAGGAAACAAATTATTATAAATGATATGTAGTTAAAAATATATTAGTGAATAAATAGTAAATTAAAGTTAATGTGATGTATAAAGATGATTGATTAGTAATATTATGGGATGTTGAATTGGATTAACTTTGAATTAGATTTTGAGTTTAAAAATAGAAAAAAAAAAATAAATTGTCCAATTAGTTAGAACTCTAAATTATTTGAATGTGGATACCTAGGAAAGCATGAGCCACCACCAAGGCAAGAACCTACACTAAATAATAGGAAAAGAAAACGTGAATTGGAAAACCAAGCTTCAAGGCGTTGAAAGTAACTAAAGGTCAAAAAGCAAACTAAAGTGATTGTGCCGGCTACTTCAAAGAAAGTACCACATTTACCCTAATTCTTGAAATATTGATTCTTGCAAACACACAACAAAACCTAAATTGATTCTAGAATTTGATAATAATTGATGCTAAAAATTAAAGTTGTTTGAAAAAAGTAAGTCGCTCCTAAGTTCATAGTCGACCCAAACTCAAACTTGTTGAAAGCACATGTAATTAATAAGTTAAGTTGAGCTCTGCTAGTTAAGACTCAAGAATATAATTTTTACATAAGATTTTGAATTTTTACTTTAACTTAATTCGTTAAGACTTAAATTTACTTCACTAATATTCATAAATGAGTCGAATTCAAACTCATATAGTTCACGAGCCGGGTCCAGCCCGAACTTAATATTAGAAGCTCATGCTCATTTTCATCTCTATACAAAATATTTTGGTTGGATAAAAAGTAATAACACAGGCCAATTCCTTTTGATATTTCGAATAATTCAAGCATGTATTTATATATTTTAGATATAGCCCTAGTACTTTAACCAACGTTATTGATCCCCTATTAAAATATTATTAAAAAATAATGACTTGTCACTATTTTATTTTAAAATATTATTATTTTTTTTTTCAATTACATATATAATGACTTGTCACTTAACCCCTTAACCGACTACTCCAATTATTAATAATAATCACCAATTTCAATAAGTGGAGACGTACCACTCGCGAAACGTAACGTACAACACCTATTCAACCTCAATCCTCCGTCTATAAATAAAGCCCCATAATCGACCCACAGATAATTTCCTCAAACACAAAACAATGGATTCAATCACTTTTCAGGACTTTGTCCTCAAATTATCCCTTCACACCTCAATTATCAAGCACAACGCCGCCTACCCGCGGCCGCGAAAATCCCACCGGAAAACGGAGCACAATTTCCCGGCGGCGGCCGAAAAATTCTGGCATGTTCTCCGCGCCGCCTATTTCGTGCTCAGGAAAAACATTTCTAAGCCGAAATTGCTGGCAGATCTCACCGCGGCGATGAAGCGCGGCAAAATCGCCGGAAAATCCTCCATCCACAACATCATGTTTCCCGGCGGGGTCGGAGACGAGGACGGAGGCTTAGACGGCGGAGACCGCCAGATCCCGCCGGGCGAGTTCGAGTTCAGCTGCAGCAACACGCCGGAGCAGCAGGCGTTCCGCCTTCCGTTCCGGCTGAACAAGAGGAAGCGGTCGCCGTCGCCGCCGCGGGCGGCGGAGGAGCCGGACGAGGAGGAGCTGTTCGCGGCGGCGATGGAGATCGTCAGGCGGACGCCGGCGGTGAGACAGCTGAGGGTGACGGACTCTCCGTTTCCGGTGGTGGAGGTGGAGGAGAACGACGGCCGGGTGGACGAGGCGGCGGAGAGGTTCATTATGAGGTTCTACAGGGACTTGAAGCGGCAAAATACAATGGCATGTTGAAAGTTTGTTTATTTCGTTTTTGGTCCTTTTATTTTGTTTTATTGTTAAATATCGCGTTTGTTGATGCTTTGGTTCTGGCAATGGTAAGATACTATGTATGAAAATAGAAAAGAAAAAAATAATAAAAAATATAGATACGTATGTTGTAGTTTGTATGTTGATGGAAGAATCTGTATATAATATATATACACATATAAGTTGTTCAAAATCTTTGTATACCGTTAATTTCCTTTTTCCTTATTCATTTATTTTTATTTTTAATTTATCTGCACGAAGTATAATCTATGAAGCATGACAATTAGTCCATTACTCCATAAGCTTTTTATTGATTAAGAAAAATGGTGATTATTAAATTCTACGCGATTTTTCTATTTTGTATGGTCCTACTAAACTTTATATGTGACCGTTTAACTGTTTTTACTTTTTATTTGTATATACGGATGAGCAATTTATTTTTTAACTGTAATAAATGGAAAAATTTATATTTTCATAATGAAATATATCTAACCCCTAACTATATTTACAATGAGAAATCCTTAAAATTATAAAATAAATTATATATTACCATACCTTATCATATGTGCCCTTGTCTCACACCCGTATAAACACTATATAGCATAAACAGTGACCGGATTAATTATTATACAGCCAAGAATAGCAGCGTAGATAGTGTTGAAAATATGAACTAGAGATGTTCGGTGTTAACAAAAACTAGTACTAACATTCATGTATTACATGGGTGGGGACGGTCTTCATAAAAGTGGGATGGGTATTCGGACAAGTCAAATTCAACCCTAATAACAAAGTACGTAATTTTGCCACATAGGATCCCGAAACATGCGAGCCTGCCACATAGGCTCAGCACGTTCTTAATTAATATATAAGGGAGAAGGGGGATTCTATAGAGTCATCAGATGGTTTTCTTATGTAGTCATCCACCACTTAATGTATTGACACCTGTCTAAATTGTATTTATTTTAAGACACGTCAGTGTGATGACTCCATAAGTCGAACCATCCGATGGCTCCATAGCAAAACTGTTGCTTTTAATTAACTACAAATAGGATTTCATAAATTATAATTAAAGAAAATAGTAATCATAGAACGCTCTCATTCTCCTTATTTTAAATTTTGTTGGAATAATCTGGAAAAGGCATAAAAATAAAACTGAAAAGACAGTACCATTCTTCAAACTCACTCTTAGTTTTAATGCAAAGGGGAAAAAAGAGAGAAAATCCATATCAAAGATTTGTGCTTTTTTAGTCTTTGGATCCCAAATTAAAAGTAACTGAAGAATGACATTACATGTTTATTTTCCAAATCCATAAAAGAAAAAAGGAAAGAAAACAGTTATAATAAATTCTTCAAGATCTTCACACATCTCACTAATCACTATTACACAGCTTTTAACCATTTTTCTTGTTTAGTTTTCATTTTGTGCCACACTGTTTGAACTTTAATCAACACATAATCCCACAAAAGGTCTACTTAAAGAAGTTCAATCAAAAAGTAGAGGTACAATTACAAAACATCATCCCACAAACATGAGTTTTTTCATCCTGGAACCACTCAAACCAAAAGACGAACAAACGATAAAAGTTTAGGTTCACAACTGTTTTAGTAGTCAACTAAAAACGAAAAAAACATCAGACTGTCAAGGGTTTCTTACATAAATATTGGCCGACAAAAGATCAAACAAACGACCAATTGACAAACATAAAACAGATGCAATGGGCAGTTTCTTCCTCATTCATCACTTTCCAAGCCACTGCTCTTTCGTAGGACACCGGCCGGCTCATGCTCGACAAGCATATACCACTCGGAAGTGATGCAAAACCCTAACCAAATAATTCAAATTTGTGAAGACACGTTTTGAGGCACAATAAAAAAAGCAGTAGTATCGTTATATAAGTGCAAACTGTAGTGTTACGAGTTCAAATTGATATGTTTTAATTCTTGAAGTTGCACTTATATATAATGATGGGACATTTTCTATTTTTGAAATATAAATAACATGTACTTTGTTGAGTCTGCTAACTTATAACTTATTTTGGTTAGCTTATAAACTTTCTATAGTCGAATAAGTTTCGTTTAGTAAGACAAAACTTTTTTAAAAAACTCGAATTTATCTCATAAGCTTCTTTGGGTAGCTTTTTAAATAGGTTCGTTGAAATTTTTATTTCAACTAGCCTTATCAGCTAATTTTACCAAAACACTTTTATCATATAAACTAGTTTTTCAGCTACAAGTCATAACCTCGAAAATCACTTATAAACTAAGCTATAAGCTAGGTTATTATCTATCAACTAGCTTATAAACTAGTTTTACCAAACATAGCTATATTATTTTATTTCTCAAAAGTTAAAATAACTTACTTGACTCATTATCTGTGGAAATTCGGAGCACAGATTTTTTCGGCCATGATCGTCGAATATCTTTTCCAGAGAGATGTCCTGAAGTGCGACAAGTGTAGTCTCCAGCATATCCAGACCAGCCTGATTTGCAAACGTGAAAATGGGCATGGCCTGCAAAAGCTCACAAGCAAAAGTTTTTTTGTTAAATACATTTCGATATTAATGGTCAAGAAAGTTATAAAAGGAAATGCAGCACGAGAATAATCGGGATATGAACAAAATATTTACCTTCAAGGAGCAACAAAGAATCGCATCCGAGTAATGCCAAAGAGCTTTAAGTATAGATTCACTGCTCAGGCCATTTGATTTGAGAAGATCCACACCCATATAGTTCCTTAAAACAAAGAAAGATGTCCTTTTTCTTTAGTTATAAAGCATTTAGTGTATCTTAGTTCAATATTAACATTTTCAAAGTTCACCTGTAACTCTGGCAGATCCAACGGGCCAGGGTTTGGGCTTCAGGAGTTCCAAGCGGCAGCCGAAGCCCGATATTTGGGCCCATGTTTGATGGGGACAGAGCCAAAGCCACCCTTTGTACAGATGAAATAATGGTTCGAACATATTGTCGGGCCATGTTCGCCACTTCTTCTTGCATGTGGCTTTCGAAAGCAAACTGAAACGCGATTGTCATAACGGATCTTGATGTCCCACTTGCATTGGACATGCCGTGTGATGATTTACTGCCAGCTGTCCCGATTTCAAGAGCAGAAGCAAGGTCCAGGGTTCGATTCGGGCTCGTGGCTTCCTACATAAATTAATAGCTAAAAATAAGGAAACTTGAACTGAACAGAAATTCAGTAGCAGGTATCAATCAGGCCCCCCAAAAAACGAACTATTTCATTTAATATTTCAATAACAAAATTCGATATTCAGTTTCAGTGGCAAGAAGAAAACAAAAGGAACAAATGGTTTAAATTAAAAATAAAGAGCATTTATTTACCTTTCCAGAATCAAGAGGAATGATGCGAAAACCAGAGGGCAAAAGAGGGGAATCATCGGTAAAAGAGGCATCAATAGGAGCAAATATGAGCTCTGCACATGTTCCGACTGCATTTTCATCCATCCCACTACACATCTGTCGAAATCCAATAAACGAGCATCAGTCAATTGACCTATAAAGGGTATTTTATCTCGAACTGTTTATCATAAATTAAAATATTTTACTCATCAATACAATCTATAATAATAGTTCTATCACCTTCGGACGAGTAGAAAGCAAAACAGAATTCTTCTCCAAAAAATATGTTAGCTAAATTCATGATCTATAGTTTTTAGATTTTCTTCTTTTTAATCATATATGCAACAGTATAATAATCGTAACATACCTGCAAAAGCAACACGTCCCTTGGCATCATTGCATCTTCAGGAGAATGGCCAATGCCTTCCAATTTAATTACCTCAAGAAGCTGTAAACAATTTCAAAAAATCAATTAAGAATTCATCTGAGTATGATTAGGAAGAAATTAATTTGCACACTTGCCTCTTCATGCTCGATAGTCTGTGCCAAAGGAAGAACAACTTGACCCCCGAAATTCCCGAACCTCGGACCAAGGAAAGTACAAGGTGGTACAGTTTTAACCGCGGCAGCTGAGTAAGAATCTACGTTAACATCTGCCCACTCAGATCTGTGCTCTCGTAAGAACCTCAGTAATATTGCGGGAGGCACGTTCTGAACCCAAAAATGAAAAGAAAAATATGGTTAACAACGTAATATATAGTAAGAACGGTAACATGGATTCGGGAGAATTGCCATTCGGGTATAGGTTCCACCCGACGCCATTCGAGGTTGTTCAGTATTATTTAGTGCCCAAATTAAAGGGTGAAGGACTTCCATCGGGCTACATTAAAGATCTTGATGTGTACAAATTTGATCCTCAACAAATTCTTATAAGTAAGTGGTTTTTTTTTTTGGTCCATTT